TTTTGCGCCCAAACTTGGCAATTATACTAATTTCGGTATTCTCTTTTTAGCTCTGGTGATTTATTTCCTTTTTCAACTTTTTATTAGAATACAACGGTATTATAGCTATTTACCTTATTCTAATTCTTGACAATTTGAAGCCGAATTGTGAGGGTTATGTTTCATTATTTTCACTTATACTAACTAACATGAAAAAAACCTTAGCGAAATAACGTATTTTGACTAGGTTAGCTCAAATAAGAGGAAGCAATTGCTGAACATTTAACAATTATTCGCCGAAGGCGAGGTGATTATTGGGAAATATTTACCGAGACGAAGTCCAGGAATTTGTTTGCTTATCTCTTTGTAAGAAACGTCCACAAAACGGCTAGCTGCTATTTTGAAGGTGAATATATAACAGCATAATACGTCAAATTTGACCAATCAGAATGTAGGTTTTGTTATATTCACTTGTGCAAAAATAAATACCGGCTAATTAATATTATACGTCATTGACTTTTCTACCGAAGCGAATTTCTAGCGGGAAGGAAAACTCATTCCGTGGAGGCATTTCGCAAAAATCGTGGTTGAAAAATTCAGTAAATAATCATTTGTCACCAATTCCGTGTAAAATTGTTATTGATAACATTGAAGAAACAAATTAGGCTTGCGTTTGCCGAAATATCCGTAATTCCTGGTATATACCGCGTGCAATATTTCAATAACGATTCTTAATCGATATCGCGCTATTTCCTATGCCGACTAGTTACATATTGCATTGAAATGAGAAACCGTTTGGCTGCATATGTTGGATTTTTTAATTGAGTTTCAAGGACCTGGGAAGTCTTAATTATTCATCCGAGTGAATATTATAAATTTATAAGGAAAGCCCTGATGAAGAGGTGAGCGCCCGTGTAAAGTTTGGTCAGGAAGATTGGTCTTGTATGAGTCATGACTAGTGACAAATGCTTTTGAAAATGCGGGCTTAACCTCCCTGTATATGTACGCCCGGGTAAAATCGTCATCCTTATCCAGAACCGCCTAAAAAAACCTTGGTGGCTACACGATGGATATTTGCCCAGCCTCGTCGAATGAAAATTCAGCTCGGGGCAACGAAAAAACATGACCGATATCAGGCCATTATTATACAAGTGAATGAATTATTAATCGGCTTTCAAATTCCCAGCAATTACAACATCCTATTTAATTAAAAATCAGGATCTAATTGCCCAGTTCATGTATAAAGACTAATTTCGAAAATCATCTTCAGAAACGTCTACTAGCTCAATCTGTCTCAGGTGAATTGAAATGTTGTCGCAATATTTAAGTGAAGAAGAAACCATAACCCTTCTTGGTGTTGTTGTGATATTTGCATTTGTTGGATTCGTGTTGAATCTCTTACTGATATTGTCAGTTATTTCAACGGAGGGCTTTGCAGACAACCCCGCGAATGTATTTGTATTGAGCCTGGCTTGCGCAGATGCTGCAATGGCCTGTGTGTTAGGTCCATTGTATGCATGCAATATGTATTATTCCACCTTCAGTACCTCACGGGCAATAAGTATTTTTTTTGCCTTAACGATTACCGGAAGTGTTTTCCTCTTGACTGTGAACCGGTACATCTCTGTGGTTAGACCTTTAAGGTATCCTACCATTGTAACTTTTAAACGAGCTCTTGCCATGGCCGGCGTTATATGGCTCGTCGCCTTTCTTGTCTTTGTTCTGGCTGTATTGAACTTGATCTTTGACGAGATACCTGATCTGAATATTTCACGCTACATTGTTGCATTCTACATCATTTCATCAACGGTATTCTTTGTATACATGTACAATTTGGGCAGAAAACACGCAAAATGTTTGGCTCAACAGGCGTTTGCTGTCACCGGTCAACTTCAGGCGGCTTCACATGAATTCAGAAAATTACGTTCGTTGTTCATAATCGCTGGAAGTTTTGGGGCATGTTGGTTGCCAATAACAATTCAAGTTATAACCATTGACCGTAAGAAAGATCCCGTTCAGTTTTATCGTGCATTTTGTTATACTGCTTCTTTGCCAGTTTTAAACACAATCATAGATCCTGTCGTGTATTATTTTTGGAGCATAGGTTTTCGTTTGTCACTGAAAAAGCTTAAAAACAAGATTAGAAATTCGGCATACTGCGAACGTTGCTGTTGCTAACAGGAACAAAAATAACATTGTTGCAAGTTTGCATGCAAGAAACCTTCTATTCAAAGTTTCTTGTTTGTTTGTTTTTTATCAATATCTATGTGTTCATTTTTCTAAAAATAAATGTTTTATTCCTTTGACGCTTCTCGGGAAGAACATCAATTCAATGGTGATGAGAAATGCGTCATTAAATATATTGTTTATGTATGTATATAGTATATGTATGTATACCTATATAGAGTTCTTTAAATCAATGAATGATTCTTGATGATTTGGTGCATTTTTTCTGGCGTAAGATTAATTTTTATAGGTGTATAGAGATTTATGCACAGCAGAATGATAAAATTAAAATCGTATTTCACTGTGTAAATTAATTTCAGGCAATTTGACTGGACGTACGATGTTAATCACGTGTGAAAAAAATGCATAAAATTTCGATTTTTGTTGTTTGCTGTGTTTTTGTATATTAAAAGCTTGTCGTTGTCAAATTGATCTCTATACATATTTAATAAACAAATTACTTCATGGTTGGCTCGTTTGTACGATTTTTATTATGAATTCGTTGTAAAAGATCGCAAACTCACTCGTTCGCGCATAAAAATCGTACGTACTCCGGTACTCGCCAACCATGAAGTAAACTCTATTTATACAACAACTTCGAAGGTTTTAAACTTTTCCGTGCGTGCACGTATACGTGCTGTTTCGCACTTTCGATTCGAAGTACTACTTTAATTTTGGACTAGCTTCCCAGAGGATGTTGGCCACACTTATTTTTTGTACGTATTAATATTTTATCATGTCCATGCGCCAATACACGATACACAGTTCCATTGAAATGAAAAATCGTTTGGCTGCATGTGTGGGATATTTTAATTGAGTTTCAAGGAAATGGCAAGTCTTAATTATTCATCTGAGTGAGTATTATAAATTTATAAGGAAAGCCCTGAGGTGAGCGCCCGTGTAAAGTTTGGTCGAAAGATTGGTCTATTATGAGTCATGACTAGTGACAAATGCTTTTGAAAATGCGGGCTCAACCTCCCTGTATATGTACGCCCGGGTATTTTGGTCGTGTCGAATACAATTCATACAATGCACAATGTGATGATAATGAAGTTACATTATTACTGTCCTCATAGGGGGATAGCATGATGACAAAAAAGAGAAACAAAGAATTTTTGAAAAGAATGTATAATGTATCCTATCAACACAGATCCCTCCCTTCCTTGTGGTTGTCAATTGCAACTGGAATTTTCCTTGCATTGTGAAAACTTGTGAAATTGTGAAATTTCCTTGAATTGTAAAAACTTGTGAAATTTCCTAGCATTGTGAATTAGATACACTTTCGGGCATTTCCCTTCCTCTGTTTTTTCATGTTTTTTCCTATACCGATCGATTGATCCAAAGAATATATTTATAATATAAAACCCTCCCCTAGAACTTGGATATAACCAATTGAAAAAATTCCAGAATGACTGACGTGAACAGTTGCTGTCGTCATCTAGCGTTATTACGATGTTGAATTTTACATGCATTTTTATCCCGCTTCCACGAATTCCGGCACGGAAAAGAATATATTATAATGCAAAAAAACATTACTCGAGAGAACCGGCGAAATTTATAATATAATTCTAGTTTTTCTCTTTAAGTGAATAACTGAGTATTAGGGGGACACCACGTGCTTCGTTTCCAAACTATACTTGGCGCTAGGTGATTTTAAAGGGTTTTTTACTTGTGAAAATTAACCGAAAAAGTTAACACTGGCACTGATAAAAGCCGATGCAGCGATTTTCCACTGCTTCAACTTAGTGCAATTTTACTGGACAACTTTAGCGTCTGATAGCTTTATTCACTCTGATTAGTATTATAGGACAAAATTACATCTATATGTAAGAGGTACATGATAATTTTTTAGGGGGAAAACATTACATTTTACATTTATGTAACAATATTTTGTTTATCGTTCAATATTCTAATCATACATCTATGGAATCTATGAGATTACATCTATTTACAGTCAATCGATCATCAGAATATTATAGAGCATAACCGGTACTTTAACAGTAGTGTAGCTAGCCTGATGATTTGTCCCGCTATGCTAATATTTTGGACGTTCATTTTATAGACCTGTTCGAAAAAGAGCAAGAGACCTGAGCGAGAATTTTCTTCATAATCTGAAATCCTAAATGCATTACAAGCATAGGCTTGGTTTATCAACCTAATTTTAGTCTAATGCAAGGCAATTGTACTTTGACCCTTTTAATGTCTTTTTGCAGGACTTTCCGCAAATGAGTTGTCCTGCAGTGATTAAGTTAACATCACCAGGCGATGTGAAGAAAACTGGTAATTACTGAGATTTCAGAGGAACACAACCACGAAGTGAATAAGGTATGAAAGTATGCCAAGATTAGATGACATAATTAAATAAATCCAACAAGTGAGGCCATAATTGCAATATCATTTATACTGTAGAAATCCTTCGAACAGCTTCCAGCACAAAGATGAGTGGGAGGGGTAACTAAAGAAGATGTCTCAAAAATTTGGGAAATGAAGGCTAAGTACTGGGTATGCAGTTTTGAATATCGAATGATTATAGGGCTTTCAATTTGCTTTATTAGGTGCTAGAGTGGAATTGTACACTGACGAGGACAAAAACTTCAAAGGTCTCTTTTATCAGGATGAAGAAATGAGGTGTATATTGTTGCCTTTCCGGAAATTCTATTGATCGACGCTACCTATAAATTGAACAATCTACAATTACCTTTATATGTGATGCCACGAGGCGCGAGAACGTGTTCTTCCCGCGCGCGTGGCCGCGCCTGCTCGCGCACCCGCGTGTGCCCACACGAACACAAACAATAATATGAAAAATTTTACAAATTACAAATTACATATCTTATTCGGCCGTACGCCTTACGGTATGCCGAGGATTCAAACATCGATTTCCAATGCGAAAATAACGTTTGTTGCAATCGCTTACTGTCCCTTTATACAGGTACGATTACAAGAATCGATAAAAACCTTTATTATTGCGACATTTGAAGGAAACATTTCGATTGCAGTACGAATAGCAAATCACACTCGCCTGTCACACGGCGTACTGTTCCAGTACGAATTACCACTTCGATAATTTATTGTGAATAGCTTTTCATTAGTCCTTCCATTCTGCCTTCATGATCTGAGCAATAGTGGGAAATTTAAGGTGAGTAATAAATCACAAAATTCAAGTAACTAGATGGCAGGAGCAAATATAAATAATGTATTAAAAATGTAAAATATCACCTCTATGTATACGATGGCCGTCCATGTCGATATATATCGGTCTTTGCGCCAGTCTTTAGTCTTAGAGCCAAACAGTGACTGACTATCCGATCGATTACTTGCCGTTATATTGTACTGCGATCGACATTTATGACGCGCCATGATGGACAAAAATACTTATTTTATGAATATGACACTTATTTCGAAATTATTTACCCATTTGTCCATTTATAAACCGATTGTAAAATTTAAACTAATTCTGAAACATAAACCAGTTAAAAAGTATAAATTATTCTGAAAATATAAACCTATTTTGAAATATAAACCATTTCACAATATAAATCAATTTCCAAATTTAAATCAGTTTAGAAATATAAACCAAGTTTCATATAAACTGATCGCGGGCTCAAAAATTACCGCTGAAAAGTTAAATCGTGGGCTCACTGTCATGAAATTGGCGGGAAACTGCCCTATTGTCCTGTTATGGCGGAAGAGTTATTCAACCGATTGATATCTGCTGTGGAAAATATCAGGTCCGCAAATAATACAAATAATCAACATCAAGTTCAAAATCGGGAAAATGAATCAGTAGAGAGTGAAGTCAACCGGTTATTTCCGAGTATTGGTGCGTTGAGAGGAAATCAGTCAAATGTCTCAAATCAAAGCCAAAGTTCAAATTCTGCTTCCGCGAATATCGAAGATGCAAATCAACCAGATCGTCTTTGTCGGTCAACCAACTTTAACCCCTCGCGAAGCTATAAGTCAACAAAGCGTGGAAGAAAGCAACTGCAAGGTAAAAAACGAAAACGCAGCGAAAATGTAAACACAGTTAGTGTCAAAGCCGCATGTTTAAAGGATGTCGTGATGCTACCGTCGCCCGACATAGATACTGTTCCTCGAGGTTGGAAGAGAGAAGAGCTTTATGAGAAAGTGCTTGCCCATTCGGCCGTTGAAATCAGCGACAATATGAACGAGCAAGATTTAAGAAAATTGATTGGCGAAATGTTCGCAGAACACATAGGTTCCTTCCCAGAGCCCAAGTTTTCTTTCGTCCGAGCAGTTGGAAACAAGATAATTGACCCAGGGTGCAAGGTTTATGATGGCAAAATAGTGAAATACCTGTCAAAGCAAGGGCCAATATATGTTCGTGCAACAAAGAAGATACCTTGCAGATTGAAACTACTTGAGGAAAATGAGCTAATGAGTGATGTTGAGAGCAGTGACAACGATTTCGCAGAAGAATCTGTTGGAGAACCAAAGCAGTCAAATAGTGGTGTACCTTCAGAAGTAGAAGTGATTAACAGCAATGATAATGTTATTGAGGACAATAATAATGACAATCTGTTGCTCATCTCACCATTTGAATTTAATGGTGATGATGTACCTTGTCAAAATGATGAAACAACCCTCCAGGTTATGGATTACATGCCCAACATGCACAGTGTCCTTTCCACGTGAAGAAATTGCTGTGCATGCAGACCGTTGTGCTGACTCAGCAGAAGGATTGTTGCCAAGCCATGCAACCTATGGCGAACTTGTGATGCAGGATGTTAATGTACCTGAAGTGGATTTCAATACTTCAGCAGAAGATATTCCTTGCCCAACCTCCATCACCGAATGTTTAACTAATTTGAGAAGAAATGTCAAACCTGAATTAACATCCATCTATGTCAGAAGAAAACGTCTGTGGGAGGACTTTGTTAATGTTACGAAAATTGTAAATGGTTCAAGCCACAAAATACACTAAAAGTAATCTTTATTGGGGAGCCAGCCATCGATGGAGGTGGCCCTAGACGAGAGTTTTTTACAGGTTTGTTGTTCTGTATTTGTTATGCTGTGGTTATGACTTCAATACTGTACCTTAGTTAAATATGCCTTACTGTTTATTAACTTTTCACCCATTTTGACACATGTATTCACTTGTGAACATTTTGTGCAATTCAGGGTAAAGAATGTATGGGGATTTGACTCAATTGAGTGCCTTTGCCTGCAAGGTTAAATCTGGCCTACATCAGAATATTGCCACTTATGTAATCACATATTGTTTGGAGTGTTTTGCCAAAATTAATCCAAAGAGTGAACTTCTTGCTACATCAAACATTAACCAACAGAAAATTATGGCATTTTTGTAGAACTTTCTTTCCTCAGATTATTAGTTTTCCACTGATTTTAGATATTATTTACCCTTAATTTGATTTGAAGTTTTTAGAACTGGAAAGTTATTGCTAATATTTGTTACAAATTTTTATTTAGAGACCTTGGAGCAAATGAAGATTCGTTTATTTTGCAATGGTGCACCTGTTGCAAGTACTATCTCACTTACTGAAGGCCTTTTTAAAGCTGCTGGTTTATTGATGGCCTGTAGCATTGTCCAGGGGGGACCAGCTCCTAATTTCATCAGTACTTGGGTTTATGACTACTTAGCATATGGTCTTCATCATGTGCCTTTAAGTCATGAAGATATCGAAGATGAATCTGTTAAAAGCATTGCAGTTAAGGTAAGTGGTAGCCTAGGTACATATATAGGAAATGGAAAACATTTATACATTGTTGTGTAGATTGAAGAAATGCAAATTTGTTGACATCAAAATCTGATTGATATTTTGTAGATTAACACAGCCAATTCCGATATTGAGCTCCAGCAGGTATTAGAGGAGGACAATGTCCTTACCGTTTTAGGCTCTGTTGGGTATAGAGGTATACCTTCACGTGAGACACTTGGAAACAAAGAGAAATTAATCAGGTAGACTATAACTATATAATATTATTATCAAATGTGGTATAACAACTGCCTAAAATAGACAAAACACTTCTTGACGTTTCGACCTGAGGGCCTCAAGGAGTGTTTTGTCTATTTTAGGCAGTTAATTGTTATACCACATTTGATGCCAAGTTGTTTGAAGACACTGCCACGCTGCTCCCTGGTTATATTGGATTATATATATATATATATATATATATATATATATATATATTATATATATAATTTGCTTTTTATAGATCAATTTGTGTTAATGAATTGTTGGCTCCAAGGATACCAGTTCTGAAGGACCTGGAGGAGGGACTTCAGCACTTTGACCTTTTATGCTGCATCAAGAATCACCCTCAACTCTTTAAAGAAATATTCACCCCAAGCTCCATTTATGATGTAACACCGGAAATGTTTATTGATTCCCTGAATGTGATCTATAGCACTCAGCAGATGTTAAAAGATAAAGAGGAAGATATTTTTAAATATTTTACAGATTTTGTTCTTCTTCTTGGACATGAAGGTATTAGTGAATAAAAAGCATTAACAAATTCTAGAAATCCAACCAAAACAATATGTTATTTAAGTTATTTTAAATTATTTAAGATATTTTAAATTCTTGTTCCAAATCTATCAGGCATTGATGAAGTTCCTGACCTTGCTTTGAAACACATGGTGAAGTTCATAACAGGAACCTTTCAGGTTCCTCCCATTGGTTTTCCATCAGCAATCAAACTTAAGTTTCTTCATGGTTGTTCAAATGGATGTAAGTGCAGACCTGTTGCATCAACTTGCTCACTAAGCTTGACATTACCAATTCATTCATGCAGCTCTCGTGAACTTGGGGAATTGCTGATATCATCGCTGACTGAATGTGGTGGATTTGGTCATATATAAGTGATTTTATAGAACTTGATGATGAAAACTATATTTTTCCTGTTACTATAGTTTTTTAAATGTTACTGTTACATTACATTATTCATACATGTTTTGCAGTTTTAGAGTGATGTGAACACAATATTATTAGTGTATTGGGTTAGGTTTTTGGCATTTGGAATGTATTAGGACCAGTGGCTTAGCCAGCCTGAAGATATTTAGTCCTGCTATGAAACTTTTAAGTCATTATAATTATTCATTCCTTTTGAAATTGTTGTTGTAACAGTCTGTGAACACCAAAATATTAATATAGTGGACAAATCAGCAGGCTAGCTGTGCTACTGATTAGAACATTATGATAAATAAATTGTGTTCCTACAAATTGTTATTTTGTTTAATCTTTTTGTTCAATCACTTTCTGACTCACTTTCTAAAGCTCCAGTAACAAATGCAACTGTTCTTTGATATAACTGTATGCCATTTTCATTGTCCTCCATTAATGGGGAAATTTGATCCTGAAGACTTTGGATTTCTTCCATATTGAGCTCTATGGTTGATGCTGGAACAACAACATTATTATTTGTCTCAATTTGGGGCCTTGGGCCATGATCATCAATCCCATAGGTAGTGAAATCTGTGTTGTCAACATCAAGAACATCGTGCACAACTGTATAATTTGATTCAGCAAATCTATAAAAACCAGCTGTCCATGTCTGTAGAGGGCTTTTATTTCTCTCTGTCGACATTGGATGATTATTCCACTGTGATGTAAAATAGTCCAATGCCCGATTAACCCGAGGGATGTAAATGTATTGCAGCGAAAAAAGGTGTACCTCGTTGTCTGGGTCAAGGAGTTCGCAAGACTCCATGAAGTAAAATAAATTGTGGAAATACTGTAGGACATAAGCGAACACATCCCTCCACATTCTCTCAATGCGCTGATTGTGTATAGATCTTCCTGTAATAACAGGATTTACTGAAACACCATATTTATGAAGCATGTACCTGGCGACATATACATTTTCTGTTCCATGATCAGTGCGAATTCGTCTAGGATGATGGTAAGTGCCTACACTATTTTGAAATAGCTCAAGAACTGTTTCAGCCTGATTATTGTTTGAGCACTTGAGGAAAATGACAACTCTTGAGAACCCATCAACGCAACCATGAACAACCATCCTCCACCTGATCAACTTATGGTTGCCATCAAAATGCCTATTGAAAATAGGGATCTCTTTAGCAAAGATCGATCAGTATTAATGAAAATATTTCTGAGAATTAAGTTTAGACTTAGTTTATAGTCATGTTGCTTGATTTAGTCATTGGAAAACAATTAAATGGTTAGGTTATAACTATGTCAAGGTACCTTTGTGAACATATTTTATATCATATAAGTAACAGAATTTGATTAAACTACACTCACCACAAGGCATTAGGGGTGGGGACGCTATAAACGCGTCGTTGTATTGATGTATGTCTTCTAAGTTGCCGACTGACAGGATCTATCCTGTTAATAGAAGCACGAATTCTGGCCCTTTGTATTCGTACATTTTGTGATAGGAGTGCACCAGTCACCATTCTTTCACCAGAATTTGGAGAGTTTGTCAGTATCCCACCTACCATCCTATCAAGTTCTTCGTCAGTTATATTGGAGTAGCTATTCGAACAAACAGGCAAGCCAGACTCTGCACGACGACGACTCAATGTTTTTGCAGAAACACCTAACATCGTCGCAATATCTTTCCAGGAGAAATTTAATGACCTTAGCCCCACAATTTGACTTTCTGGTATTAAAAACTTTGGTCTCCCCCTTCCACCACCTCTCTCGGAACATGAAACAAAACGATAGTCTTCATCAAGAAAATTCTCAAGTCTTTCCTCAAGTATATTATTCAATCGTTGCAGCTCAACAACAAGACTGCATATACCATCGAAAATATCGCGACTAATAAGAGTATGTGATGACACAACCATTAAACCGTCAATGAGTGCATTGCATCGTTGCTGTAAAACAATTGCATAATCATTCTGTGCTGTAAACAGATGTCTTTTCAGCTCAATTAATACGTCTTTGCCAAGCAATAAAAATGATAAAAAATTGTTAAAGAAAGCATATTCTTCACTGTTTTCCATTAGAATTGTACTCACATTTTTATACTCAAAACTCAAACCACTGATTTCTCAAACGCTCTATTTACAAGCGTCTGCGCCCGCAATTTAACTTTTCAGCGGTAATTTTTGAGCCCGCGATCAGTTTATATGAAACTTGGTTTATATTTCTCCTTCGTACCTTCTCCGACTGATACTCGCAATACTGGTGCAGATCCGCGGCCGGCAGCGGTCTGGAACCCACGTTTAAATTTTCAGACATGCGCACAAACGTCCTCTCTTTTTTCGTGGGCAAGCTTCGGTTTGGAAACTCACTTGAAAAGCTCGGTTTTAAACGAGAGAAATTTCCTCAGAACTTCGACATCCTTTAGCAAGTTCAACAAAATGACATCGCACGAGGTGAGTGGTATAAACTCTGTAAATTTATTATCTATTTTAGTGGAATTTAGTTGATATTTGTGACGAAAAGCGTCTTGGATGGAGCTACAAACAAGATTATTTTATATCGAAAGCAAACAAAGCAATGGATCGCCCCAACAGGTGCCAGCCTCGTTGGGGTTTGCCATGTACTGTTCAGAGTGCCCGCTCGAACAGAATATCGTTGAAAAAAACAACGAAACATGACCTAAATTTCTCGAAAAAATTGATAAATATAGAGGCTCGACAAAATTGGCGCGAAATAATTTCCGCCCTCATTTTTTTTTTCCGCCTGCAGGTAACCGCCTCGCAGGAGAGTGAATTAGATGCTCAGGGTACCAGCCCGAACATCACAACACATACAGCAGAGCACATACGTAGTATAGTGGATGAGCATTTGACGACATCCCTTAGAAAAGTGCTTCCATCTCTGTTGAAAGAAGCTTTTATAGCCAACTCAGAGAGTATGCCTACACCTCAATCTGTGGATGAGAGAGGTGAAGAATCACAAGAAGGGCCAAATAACTCCACATCAACAGGGTCTCGCCTGGATCGTTTTTAACAAACTATAAAAGAGAGTGTTTTATCTGAACCGATATTAGAAGTGATTAGAACAGCCTTCTCAAAACAATTAAGTAAGGACATATGGTCAGATTTGATGGAAAAGTATCCACAAATAAAGGGCACTGAAGAGATCCTAGTTGCCCCCACTATGGAGACTGGAACAAAAGAGTTCATGCGCCAGAAATTTGGCCATTCCAAGACAAAAGAGGTGTTTGCATTTGATGAAGGGCTCGCCGAAAGACAAGCGCCCTTTCTGACCGTTGCCCGTCCAATTGCAACAGCCTTAGAAAAGCTTGAGGCCACTGATGTTCTGGATGATGAAGGCAATGAGTCGGGTCCAGACCCTGATGAGATCAAAGGTCTATTGGAAGACGCATTAGTCCTACTTGGCAATGCGAATGTACGTCTCAACCAGTGGCGCCAGAAGAGATTCTCAGAGTACCTAACTGATGTTGGGAAGCGCACCCTCAAGGCTGGCATCCCAACCGACAAACACCTTTTTCCTGACCAATTCCACAAAATGGTACAAAGTGAGCATGAGCACTCTAGTACAAACAGCAAGTTGGTTGCAACACCATCCCTACCACATATGACGGGCCAGAAGAAGCCCTTTCGTTTCCCTCCCTAGAATCGAGCAGAACAGCGATCCTGGGGGAAACGAAAATGGTCCTTACGAACCGGACCAAACTATCAGAACACGTCTGGGTACAACTCCTCTTCAGCAAAGTCCTCCACAGCCAAGCGATTTCGACGCAACGCGGGCACAACCAATCACAGCTGACTACAGCATTCCTCAACTTCAAAACATACTTCCGCATGTGTCTACGCCAGCGGGGCGTCTAGTACATTTTTTAAGGAACTGGGAAAAACTGACATCAGACCAGTTAGTCTTACAAATTGTAAAAGGTTACAAAATTCCACTGAAGTGCACACCACATCAGTGGAGACCAAGGGTAACAAAAGGAAATTCAAAAGAACAAACAATATTGCTAGAGACGGCAATACACGAACTCCAAGGAAAAGGAGTATTGAAAGAAGTGAGCAAAGTGGCGGATCAGTACCTATCGACACTTTTCATTGTGCGACAGAGAGAGAAAAATCGACCAGTGTTCAATCTGAAATCACTGAACAATTGTGTGCAATTGGAAAAGTTCAAACTGGAGGGCTTAGAAATGGTTCGGAGTCTTCTCAGACCTGGAGATTACATGATGAAACTCGACTTACAGGACGCATATTTCATGGTCCCCATACACGAGAAACACAGAAAATACCTAAGATTGCAATTTCAGAACAAAACATACGAATTCCAGTGCCTTCCATTCGGTTTGTCATCGGCTCCGAGAGCCTTCACTAGATTGTTGAAGCCAGTTGCGGCGGTGTTGCGTTCATCAGGAATACGGATAGTAATTTACCTGGACGACATTATGATCATGCACCAGAATCAACAAGAAATTGCCAGGATTTTCAACATGGTTCTTGTATTATTGAAGAACTTAGGATTTCTAATCAAAGTAGAGAAGTGCTCCCCATTTCCAACACAAGAACTGGTATTCTTAGGAGCCCTCCTAGATTCCAAGAAGATGACCATGGCGGCCCCAATAGAAAAACTCCAAAACCTCCAACACGAGTGTGCCAAAGTGACAATGAAGAAGGGCTGTTCAATGCACGAATTGGCTGCAATGCTTGGCAGGATGAACCACATGGCGAGAATAGGCATTCACCCGGCTCCCCTACATTACCGTGCTTTACAGAGGACATATATCACATGTCTACACAAGAAAGGATATCACACACGATCCCAGCAAGTCCAAGTTTCTCTGAATTCCCAAGCATTAGCGGAGCTACATTGGTGGACTTCGCGGGCGATGTCAGAACAGAACGGTGTAGCACTTCACCTTCCACCGATCGATTTGACAATTACAACGGATGCTTCAACCAAAGGTTGGGGAGCAGTATGCAATGGAACAAAGACTGGGGGAGGTGGAGTATCAGCGAAAGCAGCTATCATATAAACTACCTGGAACTGAAAGCGGTGTATCTGGCAATTCAAGCCTTTGTCAAGGAAGAAGTGAAAACACCACGACATTTGAAACTCTTGATCGACAATACCACTGCAGTGGCATACATCAACAAAAAAGGGGGCACGAGGTCTCCACAACTAGCTACTCTAGCAACGGAAATTTGGACATATTGTCTATCACG